GGAAGGATAGGACTCCACCGTAGGGTGCTGCAGACCCCCCTATAGAAGATAAGTAGGGTAAGAGGGTGGATAGTACAGAACTTAGATTGAGAAGATGGGCCATACTGAGTCTAAAGAAAAAAAGACTCTGTATTGATCTTCTAACGCATATGCTTTCTAGCAGAGGAGTTCAGTTCACTCCCAGTCAGACAGAATGTCTCCCAGTCAGGGGGAACTTCAGTTGTCAGGTGAAGGGATGCTCCAGTGAACCACATGCAGAAGACAAGAGGGAAGGTGAGGAGCGAAGTTCAGTGACATAACTAGGTGTAAAATATGGGATATTCAGGATCGTAGGAGAAGAATTTATACGTATCCAATGCTTAATGCTACGCTCTAAGCACGGGCTGTTCTGTGAGTGTGAACAGCTTTTCGATTCGTTGGATTTTGTAAGTAAAACCTGCACATGGTTTTCTGGGGAAGGAAAGGTAAATGTAGAGGCATGGGAGAAGGTAGGCCCAAGGAGCCTTATCCTTCACCCCACTGCAGCCTTTCCAGCCGGCTCAGTAAACCTGTATCATGTCACCCCGGGAAGCACAGGATTGGAAAGTTCCCCCTGGGGTACTTGATCAGGACTCAGGTAATAGCAGAAAGTGCCAATCCTACTCTTAAACTGGATATAAGAAAGCATTTGGGGTTTTTCTTTGTAATGCCTGCTTTGGATTGAGTAAATGGATATTACTTAGTTTTACCACATCAAAGTTAGCTCTTGACACAAAAAGAAAAACTAACAGTTTGACTCAAAGTTAAGGTTTTATTTTGAGGTGCTAAGGCTCAAACGTAGAACCAATACACAATAAAAATGTAAAGCTGCAACTTTTTAAGTTAAAGTAGGAAGTCGTAAATACGGAGGAGCATGTATGTTTATATGTATCTAGGAAGCCAGAGCTATTTCTTCAGGTTCCATGATACCATGTTTAGTAGCCTGTTCTTCTAATGAGTTCTCACCCCATTTAGCCGAGTTAAAATAAGCTGTCTTATTGAGGCTTCATGTGATATCTTCTGATTTCACATTTTGGAGCACTTGACAGCATTACCAGGGGTGAGGAGGGATGCAGTAGCAAGCTCTAAAATGTATACCCTTTTATGAATGGTCAGAATCCCATCAATATAAGCCTTTTCTATAAAAACAAAAAAGGGGGAGAAGAATGTTACATGTTAAATTTTTAAATAAAATACAATGCAGAGGGTTGTACAGCGGCCGAAAGGCATCGGGACTCTTGTACAGTAGCCTCTGCTGGGTGAGCCTGGTGGAAGGATACACAAACCAGGCAAGAGTTTTACCAGATCTAGTGATGATGTGGGGAAGAGATTGTGTTTGTATCTTTCCCAGAAGGAGCAGAGCAGCCAATTTGGGTGCCAGAGCGTTACGTGCGTCACCACAACGGACCCAGAGAAGCTCCTTGTCCCTTCATTCAAAAGACTGAAAGTTGCCCCGATGACAGCAAAGTGGAAAAAAAGAAGAAAAGAAGGCTACACAGGTTGGGACCGAGGTGCCAACATGGGGTCAGCTGAAGACGTTAACAATTGAGGCCCAGCAGATGGTAGAAAAGCAAGAAGTGGAAGCTACTCCCTCAATCATGTTTCTGGCTATGCTAGCATTGGTCAGCTGCCAGTCTTCTGCAAAGTCTTGTGCAGCCACGCCGAGGACTCTGAGTAAATCAG